CGACGGACTATGCCTTCACACTGCCAGGAGCTGCGCAACAGTTGTCCAGAGAGCCCAATACCCCTTAATTAAGGAATATGGCTTAAATTATATAGGGCTTCATATTATGATTTAAGCCATATTCCTTAATTAAGGGGTATTGGGCTCTCTGGGTGTCTGGTTCTGTTTAAGAATTCGACGGAAGCACCATAATAGCGATCCAAACGGTGAACATGATGCTTGCCCGTCATTCGCACCAATACTTAGGGACAGCATGTTGGCCTCACCCCCGAACCTTCTTCGATAGTTTCCTGGTGTTCGCCTTGTTGTTTGGGGTTCCCGCATTGCTTGGTACAATTACGTATTGTATACGCCCTGCAAGGTAGGTTAGATAAAGGTTGCACAGTTTTTTGGAGAGTTTTGGGAATCGGATGCGGGGTTTCGGATTTGGGGTCTGGTTTTGGGGGGTTCAGAAGAATTCGAGTTTGGGGTTTGGAGGGACAGACCCTTCCTTTGTTGGGCAGGAAGCTCCTTGAGGGGAGCCGTGGATTGTAAGCCCTTGACCACGGGATCGCCTAGAAATCAAGTTATAAGTTAGAAGGGGCCCCCGCCCTGTAATAGTTGTATAATAGGAATATAATAGGGCCCTAATATAATCTTTATAGTCACTATTACAGGGTGGGGGCAGCTTCTAAGTTATAAGCTAGGCTTTTCGCAGTACTGGTTCATGTTTTGCGAAGCCATACACGCCAGATCCGAAGTCATAAACCCAGCAACCGAAGCCCGAAGGCCCTCCACCTGAAAACTTCTGCCCAACGCCCAGAAACCTTAAATCCGACCAAGCGAATCCGGCCGACTCCAAACCCATCTATAGCGAAACCTATCGCCTGTCCTACTTCGGCTGCTACTGTGGGAGTTTCCGAACATGGGGGACTCCAATATAGTAGCCTAAATAGTAGGATCCTTACTATAAGGAATCCAACCTACGGTACCCCTAAGTTTCGGAAGCCCCCATATTGGTAGTATGAGTAAACATAACACTGACGGCAAGTGAATGGCAAGGACGACATTAGTGAGAACGACAATGCTCACACAAACAGTAACAGTAGTCTTTTCATAAGCAACAGGATTGGCAAGATGAACAACAATAAGAATCATGCTGCTAATGCTAGTAATGAAGGAGGAATATGCCGATGATTTCGAGGTGCAATGGGCGCATTCATTGACCAGCGAAAGCTTCAGGGATTTTTTTTCATCTTCATGGGTTAAGGTTGACGCTCGAGGTTTCGAGTTTCGGGCGTACACTTTCATGTGTTGTTGAGGCTGATGGTTTGGTGGTTGGATCCTAAGGGGTCAAAGGATCATGGGACTTAGTAACTCGGCTCATAACTAGGGCAACTATACTTATAACCCATAATAGCGGGCTGTTCTGGGCTTTCTGCTTAAGACATGGGGCATTCGTTACTTTGCAGCTGTCCGCAGGCGAGGGCGGGGGCAAGAAGCGCTCACAGCCCAGAAAAGGCACAAAGCACCTTGAGCCGAAGGCCCTTTTTATGACTTGAGGTTTTTTGGGGGGACATTTGCTGTTTCCAAAACCGCTTATGCCCATAGAAGTTAACCGCTAAACTCTGAACCTCACAGCTGTTTGCCCCCCGTGTCACCGAACACTTTGGGATGCGCTTTCGCGTCCGTTGATGAGCATTTTTAGCCGTCATCATTATTGTCTTCTTCTCATGACCGGCCATCGCCAAAAAAAAAAACGCACCGTAGACCGCCACAGCTCCAATCGCTGAGCCTTGAACCCCTCGACGCCAGGAAGACGAAAGTGACTATGGAGACGATTTCGAGGATGCAAGCGGAAGCGACAACTCTTACGTGCCTTGGCGGCCTTCGTGCTGGGGTTGTTGAGGGGTCTCCGTTGCTAGGTCTAGCAGGCACTAGTATCCTTTCGATGTTCAGGATGTCTGAACAACCGGAATGCTACAGGGGCCTGAAAATTACCAATGTAGAGGGACCTTCCCGTTCCATACTTTAGTCTAGCCCGGTAGCATTAGTCTAATTTTTCAGGCGTGTTCAGATCTGGGGCGCACGTGGCGTGTACGATGGTCCCGGTGATCTCTACTTCTCCTTGAGAGCACTTGTCACTCTGCTTTGTCGAACCTTTCAATACTAGAATCCACGATGCTGCAGTTACTGGCAGCCGCGATGTTGCAATTATGAAGATAGCAATCTTCTCGGAAAGAGATAGATGCCTATGGAGCCCTTACAACAATCGCATAGCACCTGATAAGATTCCAAAGCGCCTATGCAAAGCACATAACTCCGCATGACAACTCCACGACAACCTGCCATTTAAGGCGCCGGATTTCGAAGCCGCCAGCGACAGCGAAGAGGGCAACGACACGCCGGGCTTAGAGATGTCGGAGGCAGTCAAAGTAGTAGGGTTTGGGGGAGCGGGAAGATACCAAACAACCCTAGGCAATCCTGTAGCTTAACTCTGTTCCCGGTTTAAGTCGGACACAAACTTACATATAGAATCTGAGAACTAGCAAACAAGGTCTCTACATGGTCTGATAGGCTTTTCATTTGAGATTTCGCAGGGCTTTAGCAAGAAGCATCACGGCCAAAATAAGAGCCAGATCACCGGATTTAGGCTGGGGGGGCGAGGCTGTGAAGCAGACGTGAAAATCCAGCTTCATGACTCGGGGCCAAACGCCCCTTAACAAATGCATGTACCTTTTGGTTTAGGGAACAAAGGAGGGCGCCTTGGAATATAGATGGCTTCTCACTCATTCTCAGAAAAATGTCGATCGATGAATGTGCCGTAGAAGCTCAAGTCTCGGTTCTACTTGACCAGGTATATTCCTTGACAAGGTTTTTTGCTTCATAAAGATGATGGGCCTCGCTGAAACGGGTTGATGAGTCCGGGTCCACACTGCCCTCGAAGAACCCCTGCTAAACCCCATGAACCCTGACAAAGCCCAAAAGACCCCACCAAGACATGCATCAACGTAAAGCCCGAAACAGAAGACCCCACACCCCAAACCCTACCTTAATTAACCCAAGTAACCTACCTTTTTAAGGACTTATATAAAGAATCATATTAGGGAACCCTAATACGGTAGGTTCCTTAGGGCCCAGGTCCCAAACCCTACCCTGAAGGCCTGGAGCCCTAAACCCCAACCCTGCCAAAGCCCTAAACCCGAGACCTTAAGGTAAAAGCCAGAAAGTTGGAATATGATTATCCTAACCCCTCTCTGGTATATTATAGTGTATCCTACCATGAAACCATATTCCAACTTTCTGGAGTTCCCTGTAACGACTCCAACCTACCAGGAAGATCTTCGACTCCAGATCGCTGCAGAGTTGGGAGAGGAGGCTCCGGCAGTGGAGGGTTGAAGTCAGAGGCTTCTTCAGAAAAGTCTAACATAGAAGACTACATAGTTGCCAATGTTTTCCCTGGGGTTGTTTTCTATACCTACACTATATTATGCCCGAAAGAGGCTTCTCCTTCAGAACTACTTGGACGCCTAGAAACCTGGATCTTACGGCTCTTCATTTTTTCTTTTTTCTATCAATCCTTACAACGGGTAGGTGCTGTGGCGTTGAGGGTCGGGCCAAGAAGTTCCTTGTATCGGCTTTTGTCTCTGGCTCTCGTGGGTTCTTTTCATGGGGGATCTCGAATGTTTGATGACTTTGTTGGTGTTGTTCGGATTTCGGTCAGCGTTTGCGGTGGATTGTGAAGAGGTTCTGGATGTTACTGCTGCCACATCGCGCGGCGTTCTAGAGGCTTGTACATGCGCCTGTGAAGATTGAGGATGCCATATTCGGGGCTCCTCACAATCAGGATCTTGTTGTTTAAGGTTGCGTATTCGGGACCCGGATATTCTGAAACACTCATCTGCATCAAAACCACAAGCCCCGTTCGTTTCCGCTCCTGGAAAGGGTGTTTCCGCCAGAGTTCCCCGATACATTGGGTGCGAGTCGCGTTTCCACCCAAAGAAATGCCTCACCACGGTTCCCTGCGTTTCCGCTAGCCCCAGGGGTGTTCCGGAAAAGATTCTTGGATATGTACGACCGAAGGGATTGGATTGCGAAGCGTTCTTTCAAGGTTTAGGGTCTACCTCGGCCGAACTCCAGATCTAGACTGCACGAATACTCGGCTTAATTTTACCCGCAACTGTGACCCGCTCGCAGCATGTTTCGAAACCACGATGAACAGCGAAGGCGTTGGCTCTAGCACTCATGCCTTCTGTCTCGCCTTCGCGTGCGCTTCTATCCCTCCTCCTTTGAGCCTGCCATGCCCGCTTATCGTAAGCAACACAGCCTTCCTCAAATTTCAACAAATCAAACACCCAGCCGTGAGAAAGGCATTTGCCATCGCGGAAAGCCTGGGCGTAGTGACCTTCCTCGAGACGCTGCAGCGGCATCGGCGATGAAGCCGTGAGAAAATGCCAGCGCATCGGGTGGATTTGTATTCACGTTCACTTGCTAGGGGATCGGTGCCATGCTGTAGCATACTATTAATGACAATACACCATAATAGCCATAATATACTACCATATACTACCATGTGCCACAGTACAGTCATTTTCAGGGATCTTCTCGGGTTTCCTAACTCCCGAGTCTCGTTGGGGTGGCCTGCATCTCTCCACAGAGATTGCCATGGCTCTTTGCCCCAGCACCCTGACTGCTGGAGCCCGAAGGCTAAGACGAAGAAGTTTGGAGATTTCGAAAGCCCCGGTGTCTGAAATTTGGGCGCAAGGAAAGAAGCCTTACGGGTTAAAGGTCTGGCTTGTTGAATATGGGCTGCCATTTTCCATGTTCAATGTTGGTGTTTCTGTGCTGGGGCTCCCAATCAGAACAGAATGACGGCCATCTCTTCTTCTCACCCGGGACCCTCCCAAAATTTCCTTCCGAGAGAGGAAGGCGTACCAGCACTCTTAGGAGAAACAATCCCAGTAACATTAATCCCAACAACAGTAGCAACAGTAGCAGTAGCAGTAAGAACCATACTAAAGGACGACAACGAAGATGGCTGTGTGCCCTTTGCGGAGCGCTTTGACGGGGCCAGATCCCGAGCGCTACTTATAACTCACTTATAATTTCCCATAAACCTCCAAGTAGAATTTATAGGGGCCTTAATAATCTGACATCACAGTTATCATAACGAACCTCCCAAATGGTATAGGTTATGATTTAGGCCTCTATTCTATTGTTGTTCCTTCTTTGTCATCTAGGAACCTGATTAAGAAACCCTGAGCCCCAAGATATCAGGGTTCATATAAACAAAAACCTAATCAAGACCCGGGTTTCTCAATCAGGTTCTTATATCATAGCTATAAGTTCAAGGGTGATTAGCAAAGCGTTTGTATTTTGAATCCAGGGGCTTGCAGGGCTCCGCAGGGCCCTAAATGCTAGCCCGTACGCCCCCCCAACTATAGAACCTGAAACCCGAAACCGAAAAGGTTCTGACACCAAGTGTGCCTGGAAGGTGTAATCTAAACCCTGGACTTTAAGTTCGATAGAGTTTTCGGCATTAACTGGGGGGAGTCGGGTTTTGAAGGGAACAGTTGGGTCTATTGACGCTCCAGCTTGAGGGTTTAGGATTTGAGCTTTCAGGCTTGAGGCTCATGGAGAGAATTGATGTCTGCTAGATACTGCAGAGGGTAATCCACCTACAAAAGACCAGCGCTCGCTGCGTGCACGTCCTTGCTGAGGTCCCAAACCCCATTCTCCAATCCCTGCAAGTCAACCCAAACCACTTTCTGAAGATAATGTGACACATCAACTAAGGATCCGATAGGGGAGGGGTGGGCAAACCGTAAGCGAGAAAGCTCTGCTGTCCTCCCCCCGACCCTCTTCAGCATCGTTCGGTCCCCAACAGAGCATGTAATACCGGGGTTTGAACCCCTTATAGTCTCAATCTTTGTGTACGAAAAGTTGCCCAAAAACCTACTCTAATTATGAAGGACCCTGCATTAGCTGGATGTGCCTGAACCCTGCGCGAAACCCTGCAGAAGTCTCATCTCCAAACTGTGTCGCAGTCGTGCTCAGGCAGTGGTGTTGGTCCGGCGGGGCGGATGCTTCTTCCAAATGAAGGCACCACACTTGGAGTTTCCGAAAATCAGGGTCCCTTTTTTGTTTCCCGAAATAGTAGGTGCCGTGCTATCTTAGGGATCCAAAGGGGGCCATATTTGACAACCACGCACATGTCTGATTCTAAGGAAGAATTAGTTGTTGCTTTTGCAGGTTGCAAACTGGGCTGGCCCCTGCCCTCCAACTCATCCGAAGAGTGCTTCACCAGCGTTTCACAAGGGATTTGTATGGTTTGGGCAGGTTCTCTGTGCCTTTGAAGGTAAGAGGCAGCAGAAGAAGCCGACCCCGATGCACAGAAATCCACTAAGAGCTTTCCCGGTCCTCTCCAAGAGGCGGCACATGCGGAGGATGCTGGTGCTGTAGCGCTCATCGTCTACAACGATGACCGACCGGCTCGGAAACCCAATACGAGTTCAGAGTCTGTGAAAATCAGGGACCCCAATGTAGAACTCCAAGTAGCAGGAACGCGGCATGAGATACCAGGGGTATGATTCCCACCTACTGCCCCTCCTAAGCGAGGCATTGGGCGACAAGTTCGCGGTGCGAGTGTAGCACGGTTCTTAAAGGCCGTCCACAATAGTCACGACCCAGCACCTACCTCGTTCCAACGAGTTCTCGATCTGCCGAAACAGGGATCCCAGAATCGTGAGCGAGAAGCTGGCGATGATACGGGAGTTTCCGAAAATCAGGGGTAAAATATCTTGGGGTGCTTATAGTAGGGTACTATATCAGGGTCCCCTATGTTCCGAACCTCCCATGGCGTGTTCGGTCCGCGATTCTTCGGTTCAAGGGAGCTCGCTGCCGCTGGCGTGTAGGGATCATATCCAGGAGGTTTGGGTTTATGCTTTGGGGTCCTCTTGAAGATGCTCACCTAGCCAACATACCCTGAGCCCCGCGATATAGGGGGTCTGAACACTTAGATACAGTATTTCTCGGGGTTTCCCCAGTATGTTCATAGTATGGAAACACCCAACACCCTTGGTTTTAGTCTTCAGTCTTTCAGTTTAGTCCACTCCTTTGGGCTTCTGGCCCTCGCGGAGCATGGAAGGCTCAAATGAGCCGCCAGAAGCTGGAAGCAGATGGCAGGAACCGTCGGGTATCGTGCTGGGCCTGCAGCTCTGTTGCAGTTGGCCGTCCGTGAGCTGTCCGGAGCCTAGAGACCCTGGAAAGGCTCCGATCTCCCGATGTTTTATCATGTAGACCCCTGATACATAAACCTCTTTTCTTTTCAGGCCCGACTATTAGGATACCGATTGCAAAAACTGCTAGAAAGGTAAGGGACTGGTAAGGGTGTTTATTCGTCTTGCGCTCCGAATGACATGAGCGGCGGCTTCGTTCGGTCCGCTCAGATGCTGCAGCATCAGGGGCGTCGTGTTCCTCAGGAGCTACAAGCGGCTCTCCTCAGGTCCCCTCGCGGGTCAGTGGTCGTGGCGGACGTTCACTTGCAAAGGTACGGTACTCTACTGCGCAGTGCGCAGGCGCAGTTGGAGGTCGTCCTCAAAACAAAGCAACGCGATGCCTGACCAAGTGGAAAGAGGACATCCACGCCACCCGGGGCGCTTGTAGGTGGTGGAAAAGAGACAAGAGGCGGTGCCTCAGCTTCTCCAAGCCGAGGACAGTACGCTGCTCACACAGCCGTCTCAGGCCCTCCCGGATCTGAAAACTTACTGGGGAGGCATCTTTGGGTGTCCTCCTCACCCTGGTGCTGACCAGAAGGGGTTTTGGGATTTGTTTGGAGGGTTTCTTCGGGGTCCCCTCTCTCCTTTCCCGTCTCTCGACCCTTTCGCAGGACACCGTCTGCCTCCAATCTTATGCTGGAGCTCAAAACAAGGTTGTAGAGTAGGGTGTTTGGGGGTTTTCTCTTGTATAACGGAGTTCTTCTGGGGATGATAAGAGCTTGTCACGTAACCAAGTCTATGGCATGAATGGTTTATTTGTGCTTTCGGGGTTCGATCAAGGAGCATGAAGACCTGAGTTGAGACTATTCGCATTCAGCGCCGCTTTCGAAAGACTGCACGGCAAAAGCTTGCACATGTGAATGCTGACATGATATGGGGGCCTTAATTAATGACTAGAAGAGGGTTTTGGTGTGCATCTTTTATTGTAGTGATAATACAGGCACCCTTTAAGATAGCACTGGTTCTGGCTCACCTCAACATTCCGCTGGCATGTTCGATCAGCGAGTCTGGCTGGAAGAGGCGACAGGCTTTGCACAGGAGAGTGCGAGTGCCACAGAAATAGTAAACCCCCATAAAAATTGAACCCTAAACCCAAAAAAGCCTTGACCCTACACTTAAACCCAAAATCCAAGACCCTAGCCGTCCACCCCTACATTTTGCTCCTAAACTCCAAACCCTAAACTTAAACCACCCGCATCCGGTAACTGAGGAAGCCAATACAGACCACGCAGCCAATCCGCCCGGACGAGTCTTCCCCCAGGCAAAGGGGTTTACTTACCGTTGGTTAGTAGGGAATGAAAGAATGGTAGTCATAGTAGTTGTAATTGTACCCCATTCCTCCATTCCCTACTAACCAAAGGTAAGTTTTGGGTTTACGGTGTTCTTGTCTTGCCCAGGATTACTATAGGGGTCCCTTTTACAAATCAGCGATGCCACGCCGCAGGCTTTCGATATAGCAGCGTACACCCTTAGATCCTAGTCTGACTGTTCAGACCCATGCATTCGGAGGCTTTGAGTTCCCGTCACTAGGAGTCCTGGATTTCCAGAGCTCAGTGCTGCCACCACAGCAGCATCGTCACCGCTAGCACCATGGAGCGAGCTTTATCGAGCCCGAACCATCCGTCCATCCTCAACATGTCAGCGATGCTTCGCGGCAGGAGCCGTGATGCTCCGAGTGCCGAGTTTCTTCCGGTGCCGGAGAAGGACGCTCAGAAAGCTGCCGCAGCCCTAGTTTTAACACTGAACTTCATAGCGTTTTCATGGTGGGTATTTTGGATTTGGGATATTGTTATGTGAATGCACCCTCTGTTGTACATGTACAGGAAGCCATGGCCATGACATGCATGTGGTAACTGTATATATTTCCCGCTGCCGTTAGGGCCCTTGAGTCATATTCAGATAGCTTCGCAGTCGGCGAAAAGATCCACCAGTTTTCTCAAACTGGCAGCGGAGCCAGGTTCCTCCGGGACCTGTCTCTGCGCGGATCGCAGTAGCCTGTAGCCTGTGCTCAATACCTACCATTGCATACCTCCCTCTCAATTCTTTCCCTTCGAACTTTCGCCAAGCATGTCCGTGGCCGGTCTTCGGTACAGTCGCTCCACCTACTCGAGTACTCCCCTTGAGACTCGTAGCGGGAGCTACATATATGATGGCACCCCCAGTACGTTCCACGACTGGGAGTTTAGGACCTCTATGAGGCTTAAACTGTACGAAGATGCCATCAGGAGCAAATCTAAGAAGACCGTGGAGCCAGAAGAAGAAGGCAGTGACGATGAGAGCCGCGTCGTGGAGCAGAGTCCGACTGCGGGAGCCACTGCCCCTGTACCTCCCGAGGACAGGCCCGACATAGATGCAGCCGAGGCATCTGCAGCAGCCTCTGATGGTGGATCTCGCAGGAGACCATCTGCACCGAAGTCACCTGACTCGGTCACAGAACTGCCGGTTGCCGACGAAATGTCATCCTATGCGGTTAAAGCACGTACCGAAATGGTGCATAAAGTGCTGGAAGGACTTCGGGACGAAGCCTTCGAACTCGCCCGGGATATCGGTATCGAATCCCTGACTGCCCCTGGTGGCCTCCGGGATTTCATCACCAAGTTGAGAAATGTCGTCTTCCCCCGTGCGACCGAAGAAGCTCGAGAGCTCTTCCGTGCGGGCCAAAAGCAAGGTGTCCTCGCACGCCAAGGTGGCGAGTCGATGCTGTCGTACGTCAGCCGACGACGACGCTGGTGGAAACTGCTCAAAACTCTCGACGCCAGCATCGAGCTTTCCGAACCGATGCGTGTAGAATTGCTATTGGAGCTTTCCGGTTTGACTCGGCAAGAGTGCCTCGTCATTAAGGCATGCACCACTAGCAACCGGAGCTTTGAAGCAGTTGCTGCTACCCTAGTGGAGCACTACAGCGGCGTTCACCTAAAGGAAGGTCGTTCCTTAGGTGGCGGTACCTTTCAGGACCGCCGACCGCCTCACCATCCTGGTGCCCGCCGCGGGAACCCTAAGGGCTACGGTAAGAATAGGTCTAAGGGTTTTAACCGTCGCGCCTACGTCGCTGAAGACGAGACGCAGTACTACGACGACGCGCCGCCGGACGACGGCGACGATGCCGAAGAGTACGACGACACCTCGTGCCCCGCCTTTGGGGACGAGCCTGAGTACGATCCTCATTCCTACCCCGCCGGGGAGGAGGAAGAGGACCCGGGCTACGAGGAATTCGAGCTCGAGGAAGAAGAGGCAACTGCCCTTAACTGCCTCGAGGAGCTTGATCCCGAGGATGCAGACAGCGGCCATGTGATCCAATTGCAGCTTGCCGCGAACGCCGCATTCGGAAAAGCGAAGGGGCGTAAGGGCAAGGGCCGCAAAGGAAAAGGGAAAGGTAAGGTAGTGCGATCACACCTTACGCTCGACGAACGTCGCGAGAAAATGAAAAACCTGAAGGCACGGTCGAAATGCCTCAGGTGTGGAGCTATTGGTCACTGGGCAGGTGACCCCGAGTGCAAATTCCCTACCTCTAAAGGAGGGAAAGGGAAACCCCGGGCCCACATAGCAATTGTGGAGCCGCGACAGGACCCCGACGGGGGCCTGTACGTTCCCTCAGGGAACGATATGGACCCTAGTGGCCATATGGTGCGGGATCTAGGCGAACCCAGATCCAAGGCTGCCCCCTCACAACCATCTAGCTCAATGCAGATGGAGGGTGCCGACCGAAGATTTAATCTCGGTCAACACAAGGGCCAGACTTACGAGGAGGTATCCCGTAAGACTGAGTTCGTGCGCTGGGCCCTCGTCCAGCCGAGCCCTGCCGCGCACCTTAAGGATTTCCTCACCTGGTTTAATAGATATTATGTCATTCAGCAGGGTGTAGGAGGTCAATACTATCGCGAAACTCGTGCCTCGATAGGTATCCCTGAGGGAACCTATAACCCTCGCCCGAGGGGAAAGGGCGCGAAGAAGAAGACTCCACCGAATCCGCCTTTGGCGGAGAAGTGTAGCTCGTGCACGGAATTCTCCTACCAAGGGAGTTCCGCGAATTACGTCCGCAAGACCTGCAGGGACTGCGGCCATGTATCCCAAGAAAAACGGGAACATGTATATACCGTAGACCCCTCTGTATGCTCACACGAAGCAACAGACCATCGGGGTAGTTCGAGGACCACGTCCCGAACCTTCTGTAGAATGTGTGGTACTATCGTTGATGAAGTGCCGCAGGAGTTTCA